GGTTTCTTGCAGTAGTGTTTTGTAGTTTTCTTTGTATAGGTCTTTTACATCCCTGGTTAGATTTATTCCTAAGTATTTTATTTTTTTTAGAGGCTATTGTAAATGGTATTGTTTTCCTGATTTCCTTTTCATTGTTTTCTGTGTTAGTGTATAGAAATTCAACCAATTTTTGTATGTTTATCTTGTATCCTGCTACTCTGCCAAATCTTTCTATTAATTCCAGTAGTTTTCTTGTGGAGTCTTTTGGTTCTCTACATATTCTATCATATCATCTGCAAATAGGGGCGGTTTCACTTCTTCATTACCAATTTCAATGCCCTTTATTTCTTTTTCTTGCCTTATTGCTCTAGCTAGGACTTCCAGCACAGTGTTAAATCAGAGTGGTGATAAAGGACATCCTTGTCTTGTTCCTGTTCTCAAGGGAAGTGTTTTCAGCCTCTCTCCATTAAGAATGATGTTGGCTGTTTATTTTGTATAGATGCCCTTTCTTATGTTGAGAAATTTCCTTTCTATACTTATTTTATTGAGAGTTTTTATCAGGAATGGGTATTGGACTGTGTCGATTGCCTTACTGTGTCGATTGAGATGATCATGTGATTCTTTTTTTTTCCTTTGATTTATGTGGTGGATTATGTTGATTGATTTTCTAAAGTTGAACCATCCTTGCATACCTGATATGAATCCTACTTGGTCGTGGCGTGTTATTTTTTGATATGATGCTGCATTCTGTTGGCTAGAAATTTGTTGAGAATTTTTGCATCTATATTCATGAGAGATATTGGTCTGTAATTTTCTTTTTTTGTGACTTCTTTGCCTGGTTTTGGTATCAGGGTTATACTGGCTTCATAGAATGAATTTGGAAGTATCCCTTCCTTTTCTATGTTCTGAAATATTTTGAGTAGTACTGGTGTAAGCTCTTCTCTGAATATTTCATAGAATTCTACAATGAAGCCATCTGTGCCAGAGGTTTTTTTGTTGGGAATTTTTTAATTACCTTTTCAGTCTCTTCTCTTGTTATGGGTCTGTTCAGATTTTCAACATCAATTTGTGATAGTTTGGGTAGGCAGTGTGTTTCTAGAAATTTGCCTATTTCCTCTAGATTTTCAAATTTGTTGGAGTATAGTTTTCCATAATACTCTGTTATGATCCTTTTTATTTCAGTTGAGTCTGTTGTAATGTCCCCCATTTCATTTCTTATTTGGGTTATTTGCATCCTCTCTTGTTTTTCTTTTGTCAATTGACAAGTGGTTTGTTGATTTTGTTGATACTTTCAAAGAACCAACGTTTGGTTTTATTGATTCTTTCTATTGTTTTTTTTATTCTGTATTTCATTTATATCTACTCTAATCTTTATTATTTCCTTTCTTCTGGTGGCTTTGGGCTTTTTTTTGCTGTTCTCTTTCTATTTGTTTGAGTTGTATAGCTAATGTTTTGATTTTGTCCCTTTCTTCTTTTTTGATGTGTGCATCTATTGCTATAAATTGTCCCTGAGGACTGCCTTTGCTCTGTCCCAAAGATTTTGGTATGTTGTGTTTCATTCTCATTTGATTCTAGGAATTTTTTGATTCCATCTTTGATTTCTTCTATTACCCAGTGGTTTGTAAGCAGTGTGTTATTCAGTTTCCATGCAATTGGTTTTTTTTCTTGCTGTTCCTGTTGTTAATTTCTACTTTGATAGTTTTGTGATCAGAGAAGGTGGTTTCTATTATGTCAGTGTTTTGGATTTTGTTGAGGGTTGCTTTGTAGCCTAAGATGTGGTCTATTCTGGAGAATGTTCCATGTGCATTGGAAAAGAATGTGTACTTTGCAGCTGTTGGGTGGAGTGTTCTATATATGTCTATGAGTTCAAATTGGCTGATTGTGGCCTTTAGATCTTCCGTATCTTTGTTGAGTTTCTTTCTAGATGTTTTGTCCTTTATCGAGAATGATGTGTTGAAGTTTCCTACTATTACAGTAGAACTGTCAATTTCTCTTTTCAGTACTGTGAAAATTTATTTTATGTATTTTGAAGCCCTGTCATTGGTTGCATAGATATTTATTATGGTTATGTCTCTTCATGACAGATCATCTGTTTAATCATGATATAGTGCCCTTCTTTGTCTTTTATGGTGGATTTTGTTGTAAAGTCTATTTTATCTGAGATTAGTATTGCCACTCCTTCTCTTTTTTATAGCTGTTTGCTTGATATATTTTGTTCCAACCTTTGATTTTTAATAAATTTATGTCTTTGTTTCTAAGGTGTGTCTCTTGTAGACAGCATATTGATGGATCCTGTTTTTTATTCATTCTCTCACTCTCTGTCTCTTTACGGGTGCATTAGGCCGTTTATGTTCAGTGTAATTATTGATAGCTGTGAGTTTATTACACTGTCCATTTCTGAAATCTTGTTGTTTATCTTTTTGGATTTCTAATTGTTGTTTTTGTATGACTTCTAGTTGTGAATTTATTTTGGCATTTTGTTCCTGTATTATTTTCCTGAATTCTTCCATATTTTGTGTCTGTATTTTCCATGAATTTGTCTGCCTTTTTCATTACTTTGTCTATTTTTTCCTAATTTTTCTCGGCTTTTTGCTTCAACTCTTCAATACCTCTGCATATTAGAGATGAATTCCCTATCAGGTAGTTCTAGGGCCTTTTCTTCTGCTGGAAAGTCATCTGGTGTTTTATTTTGGATGCCTACTAGAACCATCCTGTCCTATTCTTTTATAGGTCTTGATATTGTCTGCTGTCTTTGGGACATTCAGTAGTTATTTTCTCTGTTTATTGATTGTAGATTTGTTTTCTTTCATCCCGCTTTTTTGTTTCATTTGGTTATGTCTGAGCATGTGGGCTGTGCATTCTTTGTTGTTTGCTCATCTGTGAACACAATATTTTTCACCTCCTTGTCCAAGGGGCAGGGCTGGTTGCTCACCTATGGTGCAGAAGGGCAGGTTTAGGTGAAGGGGAGGGTCTGGGATGGTTTTTTTGTGGCAAATACTGGAGCTGACATGGTAAGTGTGGGGGGGAGTCAGTGCAGGACAGGTTTCGGTAGACTGTGCCTGTGCTGTTCGGCAGTGCAGTGTTCAGCACATGGTGCAGATAGGCAGGAGGGAGGGGGAGCAGGAGGTTGTGATGTGTGGAGCTAGGTTGGGTATGGGAAAGAAGAGAGACAGGAGCCCAAACAAAATAAAAAAGTGCTGAGGGAGCCTGCCAATGGAATAGAGAGATGAGGAACCGAGAACTGAAGAAAATCAAAAAGAAAAAATAAAAGAAAATTAAAAAATTAAAATAAAATTTAAAAAGCCCCCAGGGATCCCACTGGCATGGCTGCATAGACTGGGGAAGTGGCTCCCAAGCTGCTCATTACAGCCTGGCTAGAAAGGCTGTAGATGATACACAGTGCCAGTTATTCAGGAGACAGGAAGGGAAGGTAGTTAGAAAGGGACGAAAAACCAAGAAATGAAGAAGAAGAAAAAAGAATTAGAAACAAACAAAATAAAAAGGGGGGGGGGAACCCAGTGGTCCCACCAGTGTGGTGGGTTGGACCAGGGAAGCAGTTCTGCAGTCACACGACGCTTCATAGCCTGTCAAGATGAAGCAAAGATGGCACACAGAGTCAGGTGTTTGAGAGAAAGGAGAGGGGGGAGGTGAGAGGCAGGCAAGAAACCAAAAGAGGCCAAAAAAAGCAGCACCAGCAACAAAGAAATGGCGCTGAAGAAGCCTGCCCTGTGGGTGGGGTGAATCCTCAAGGCACGGAACCAGTGGTCATGACCAGCTGGTAAGCTGTGGATCGCCCTCTGGGAAGCTGTGGATTGGCCCACTGGGAAGCAGCGAAGGCCGATCAAGGGGTGACAGGGTGCTGGATAGGAAAGCTTGTATCTGTGATTACCAGATGCTCTGTCTCCTGCTGGGAGCTTGGTGAATCTGCTTTCCTGTACTCCTTGTCTGCCTATCTCTTGACAGGAGTCCAAGATGGTGGATCCGTGCTACATTAGCTGATAAGGGACCTCTGCTCATAACTCTCCTCACTCTCCATTCTCTGTCAGTTTCTTATTCCATCTGGTGCATGGCTGAGTTCTTTATCTCTTCATTTGATGCTTAGGGTTCCAGGATTGACGTTTGTCTTTATTTTACTTAATTTTTTGAGTCTCTGCTTGGAGGGTCAGTGTGGTGCTTCTGTCTATAGCACCATGTTGGCTCCACCTCCAAGAGTTTCTTAATACAGTTAAAAATCCTTAACCTGGCTGAAGAGATCCCCTCAGTGATCTTACCTCTGTTTACCTTTGCAAACTTGTTTTGTTCTTTTCCCCCTCCTTCTAAGGAGCCCTGGTGGCATAGTGGTTAAGCACTTGGCTGCTAAGGAATTGACTTGATGGCAGTGGGTTTTTTTTTCCCTCTCCCTTTGTACTCTAGTGACACTAGAGTACTGTTTAGTATATCTTAGTTTAATTCTTTCAATGGACCATGCTTTTTCTTGCACAGGTTTTTTTCCTCTGTTCATACTATTTGTCCATCTCCTAAAAAACAAACCAAACTCATTGCTGTCAAGTTGATTCCAATTCCTCACTCCCCACCAGTCCCCTGGTCAAGTCCCTGTGTTTTAGCCCTTTTAACACCAATTAGTACATGCTGATTTAAAATTATATGTCATGTTTGTGATCATCTAATGTCTGTTTTTCTTTTTTTTTTAACCAAGGAAATTATATCCTTAGTGCTTAACACATTAAGGAGTGCTACGTAGATATCTTTGTTGAAAGAATGAGTTAATAAACAAAAGGTCTCCGTAATCTGAATATAAAAAACAAAGTAGAGGTTTTCACTGAAAGTAAGAGTAAAGTGTATTTGTTAAATAGTTTTATATTTAAATCAATTCTGTGATGTGTTTTACTTAAGAATGACCTGTTGAAATAAAAAGTGATAAAGGTTCTAATCCTGAGAGGGAAAACTGTTTAGTGAGAAAATATGGATCATATAAATGTGCTTTAAAACAAACTCTAGCTTTAGAAGTCACAGAGCTAAGGACAACAGAGTTGACCACTTGTAGAAGACACTGCTTAGAAGGGAGAGCTACAGAGAAGTCAAACCAACAGATGTAGAATTGACCTTGTTTATTCTTCTTACTTTTGTCTGTGGAAAGGAAAAGTTTGCTGAAACCTGGAGCATAAATTTAGGAAGGCATCCTAACAGTATTATTTTAGGAGAAAACAGTGATATGCAATAGACACTAAGTAGGCAAGGAAGAAATCTTGCAGGAGAACTTAGCCTTTAGTGTTTGGAAATTGTGAATTGGGTGCTCTTGATATCTACTGTATTGAAAATGATAGAATTAAAATAATTGTTTTTTAGTATATTATTGACAAAGTACTCAAACTCGTAATGAGTTTGCAAACCCAGACCTGTCAAATTGCCTGGGAATCCCTGATACCTAAAGACCTTGCCAGGAGGGGCGCTGTGGGACTGCTCCCTATTCACCTTGTGGAAGTGACTAATATTTATCTTTAGCATGGTCCGTCCCTTCTATTCCAATCCTCAGTGTTTTGGATGTAAGGGTCCCAGGTGCTATCCAGTCTACTACGTTAGGATATTCTAGATGTTCCAGGAGAAGAGGTAGGCATGCAGGTAGCTGGTGGCCGGTTTGAACAGCTAGGAATGGGGCTGGAGCTGACACTAGGATGTGTGGCATTTGACTATCGAGACATCACTAAGACTCTTCCTAAGAAATGAAATAGTAGATCTATTTCTCTGTTTTTTACTATTTTTTTAAATGACTTTCTGATCCATGATTCTCTAGAACTAGATAGTCCGTGTGATCTGTAGCTGCTTGTCTGGTTCAGACATAAAAACTCAAAAGCAAAAACAAAACAACCCATACCCAAAAGAAGAAATAGTATTGCAGTGCCCCTTATTTTCTGGAGTGGCATGAAATGCACTGAGGTAACATGGTCTTTTGTTCTCAGGGACATACATGGACATGGGATACATCTCTTGGGAGACTATTCTTAGAAGAAAAAATGGTAAATATGTACATTGGTTTTAAATCTATTACAGTCCATTTAAATTGTCATATATGTAATAGACTGGCTTGATGCCAAAATGTTTAGCTGACTTAAATCTGTTGAACATACTAAATGTTTTCTAAATATATATTGTGTGTGTGTGTGTGTGTGTGTACTGTCATGTGTATTAGTTGAATCAAGAGTGTTGAGTTGTGTAAATTTTAACTATGCTTATTAATCCCTGCGTTTGATTTATCTTTTTAAAAATCAGACTGGTCAGAACAGGGAAATACAATAAGAAACAATGTGATCATCAATGTTTCTGGTGCTGAGGGACTCTCCAATCCTGAAATGCTGACATCATCTGGTATCTATATCAGCAGTCCCACCAATATTGTGGAGGTAAGATCTTCAGCATTGTTAGGAAGGTCAGAGCTGAGAGGGCATAAAGTTCACTCCATAAAGTTCACTGAGTGGTGGCCTCAGTGGCATTCTCTGAAATGTTTACTTGCTGCACATTAGTATTAAGAAACTAATTTATGATATTATGTTAAACAAGTGCTTTAGGATAAATACACTCATCATTTCTCTTAGAAATCCTGTGAACTTTCTTTGAAGCACTATCTGTATGGAGTCAGCAAAGTAGGTACTGATATTTTCTGATTGCTTAGAGTAATGTAAACTAAAATATCATCCTGAACTATCCACTGTGGGTGCTGATTTTTTGTGTTTATTGATTCCAATACCAATTACTTATTAAATCTTCACTGTCTTACTGTGTGAATGTGGCCATATTGTTGCCTTTTTAGAGTGTCCAAAACTGAGGGTAGGCAGAGTCACAATATGTCTGAGATCATGGCAGTTTCCAGGAGGTTGGAGTACACTTTGTTGGCTTTGATTTTTTATTCCATTATTTAGTACAATTGAATATTATCTTTTCTTGGTAAATTTCTGTCTAAACACTTTAGGAAATTAATTTTTCTTGGTACAGTTTAATCATAGATCTGTGAGTGAGGGATTGCTTCAGAGTATTGGGAAGGACTATTTAATTTCTCCTTTCCCAATTATTTTATCCCATGGATCAAGGATGAAAGTGTTAAGGCTCTCATTCTTCTAGGATATTCCTCAGAGCATCTCCTTGTCCTGACAACTATGGCCTGTTTCTGAGGAACTGAGAGAACTAACTTTTCTGTCTCCCTCTGATCATCTGTTTTCAGTTACCTTCAGCTGAATAACCCCTAATAAATGTTGCAGTTATCTTCTCAACCCTCCTCCAAACTCTTAAGTACGTTTATTCCAAGCACAGCACTTAACACACTGTTTTAGGTGCCTAATGAGGGCAGCTAATACACCAGTGAGAAAAGGAGGCAGAACTGCACGAATTTCAGAAATCCCAACTCTAGACCCGGAAAAATTGAAACTGTGTTTAACTTGCCTACAAGTATAGGGCTTGTCGTATAGCTCTGCCAGCAAGCTTTGGCACCTAAAGAATCATGTTTTGGCATGCCTTCTTTGGTATCATAATTGTCAAATAAAAACCAAATCTGTATTTATTAAGGAGGGATTTTTTTCAAAAAGATTATTGCAAAGGGGGAAAGGAATGCTTGCAACAGAGCGGTATACTGGCTCAGGATGAGGGTGGGCCAGTGTTCAGGGACTTGAGGAAAAGAGAAGCTTAACCAAAATTTGGTTAACAGGAATTTTGTTCCAGTTAATCAGTGGAGACAAGCAGTTCAGCAAATCATTTCTGAGGCAAAAAATGACAACTTGGAGGTTCTGTGTCTGGCCTTTTCATATGTAAACAAGGGGGCATCTGTGAGTCTTATCTAAGTCATATGGGGAAGGGTGATTCTGTGCAAATAAGCTGTTTTCTGGAACACAAAGGATGGAGGATTTCTTAACATTCACTCTTTTCCATGATCACAGGGCTCAGGTAAAATCAACAGTGTTATATCTTGACTACATCAAAATGCCTAGAGGAAAGTAAACCCTAAGGATTACCCAGGTCATCTTCCTGTGTGAGGCTGGAAAGTATCTAAACCCAGCACTGGATGCCAGGGGTTCTGTCTGTATGACTTTCCTTCACTGGGTAGCTCATTGTCTCCTGGGCAGGTGTGATAACCACTGGCCAGAGGGTAGAAGAATTGAGGTGCAGAGAACTAGAAAGCCATCTAAAAAGCTTCTGAGTCACCTGAACCTTTGCAGAATAACCTGTAGAACAATACCAAGTCAGCAGTGGAAACCCTGAGTCCAAAATGGGCTGCTTGCAACCCCTCAAATGCCTTCCATTACCATTCATTTACTTTTTTCCTTATACCCACTTTACAAAATTGAATAAAATACAATGCTTGTATATAATCTGAGAATAGGTTTCAGGTTAATGCAGATTCCTTAGTTATGTAGTTGTTAAGTGCTATCAAGTAGGTTCCGACTCATGGTGAACTTAAGTGTAACAGAATGAAATGTTTCTCAGTCCTGTGCTGTCCTCACAATAGTAAGTATATTTGAACCCATTGTTGCAGCCACTGTGTCAGTCCATCTCATTGAGGATCCTCCTCTTTTTTGCTGACCTTCTACTTTACCAAGTGTCTTAGTTATCTAGTGCTGCTATAACAGAAAAACCACAAGTGGGTAGCTTTAACAAACAAAAATTTATTTTCTCACAGTCTAGGAGGCTAGAAGTCCGAGTTCAGGGTGCCAGCTCTAGGGGAAGTCATTCTCTCTCTGTCAGTTTTGGAGGCAGGTCCTTGTCTCTTCCGAGCTTCTGCTCCTGGGCAGTCTTCATGTGGCTTGGCATCTCCCTCCCCCACCCCACTTCTTTCGCTTGTTTGTTTAATCTCTTTTATATCTCAAAAGAGATTGATTTAAGACACATCCTACACTAATCCTGTCTCATTAACATAACAAAGACAGTGCATTCCCAAACGGGATTATAACCACACAGCCATAGAGTCTAGGATTTACAACCCGTATTTTTGGGGGACATAATTCAATCTATAACATTCCACCCTTTGACCCCCCAAAATTTGTGTCCTGCCCACATGTAAAACACATTCATCCCATCACATCATCACAAAACACTTAAATCAACTCCCAGTCCAAAATTTCATCTTCTGAATCATCTAAACCAAATATCTGGGTGAGACTTTAGGTGTATTCCATCTTGGGGCAAAATTGCTCTTCATTTGTGAACCTGTGAAATGTAGACTACAAGTTATCTGTTTCCAAAGCACAGTGGTGGTACAGGCACAAGGTAGACATTTCCATTACAAATGGGAGAAACTAGAAGGAAAGAAGAGATAACAGGCACCAAACAAATCCAAAACCCAGCAGAACAAATTCCATTAGTTTTCAAGGCTTGAAAATAATCCTCTCATCTCTGAGACCATCTGAGCAACGGCCCCTCTCTCCACATGCTCAGTGGCCACACTGTCTGGATTCTAGGTGGAGGTCCCTCAGCCCTGGGCTTCAGCTCCGCCCACTGGGCTGGCAACTTTGCTCCTTTGGCGTGGCAGCTCCACCCCCCAAGCTTTGGGCGACAGCCCAATCCCCTGGCACACCTTAAAGGCAGCCCCACACTCCAGAATCGAGTTAGTGGAGATCCGACTCTTTGAAACCTAGGAGACTGAGGCCCCACACTTTGAGATCCAGGAGACCATGGCCCCACCTTCTGAAACTGAGAAGGCCCTTCCAACAGTTCTGCTGATCTCTGAGCTGCTCTCAGGGTGGTCCTTTTCTTTTGTTGCAGGACAACAGATGTAGCTCCTTCGGCTTGTTTCCTGCCTGTAGAATTCCAAGAAGGAGACAGAGTTTTTTCCTTTCCGTCTGTCTCTGTCTCCTTCAGACTAAGATGTTGGGTTTTCCGTGGTGATAGTTGGTTAGATCCATCAGCCACAGGCTTAATCTCTTTAAGAAAAGATTGTATAGCCATGTCCTTGGTGAAAATTGTAGGACATGTGTCCTTGGTTTGTACAACAGAATTTTCCAAAACTTTAAGGTCTGTTTTAATTTTGCATAGTTCATTTTTAAGTCCATCTCTTTCCTCTCACATTTTACTGTATGTGCAAAGAGAAACCACATGGCCTCTTTAAGATTTTGCTTAGAAATCTTCTCAGCCAGATATCCAAGTTCATCACTTACAAGTTCTACCTTCCACCAAACATTCAAACATAATTCAGATTAGTTCTTTGCCACTGTATAAAAAGCATCACCCTTCCTCCATTATCCAATCACAAGTTCATCATTTTCTTTTAAAGCCTTACCAGAAGCTCATTTAAAGTCCACATTTCTAACTACACTCTGTTGCTGGTGCCACATGTATTCTCTAAGATGACAGAAACTTTCCCTATCGTTCTCCTCACTTCCTTCTGAGCCCTGACCGGAATTGCTTTTGATGTCCATAATTCTACCAATAGTCTCTTCAAGGCAATCTAGGCTTTTACTATTAAGCACCTTAAAACTCTTCTAGCCTCTACCCATTACCCTATTGCAAAACCACGTCCACATTTTAGGTATTTGTTAGAACAGCACTCATACTTCTTGGTACCAAATTCTGTCTTACTCAGTGCTGCTATAACAGAAATACCACAAGTGGGTGGCTTTAACAATCATAAATTTATGTTCTCACAGTTGAGTAGGCTAAAAGTCTGAATTCAGGGTGCTGGCTCTAGGGGAAGCTATTCTCTGCTGGCTCTGGAGGAAGGTCCTTGTCTCTTCTGAGCTTCTGCTCCTGGTTAATTTTCATGTGGCTTGACATTTTTCCTCCTCCCATTTCTCCTTCTCTCACTTGCTTGTTTAATCTGTTTTATATCTTGTACACAGGCATAGAGGTTAGGATTTACAACACATATTTTTGGAGGACACAATTCAATCCATAACACCAAGCATGATGTTCTTCAGGGATTGGTCCCTCGTGATAATATGTCCAAAGTAAGCAAGATGAAGTCTCGCCATCCTCACTTATAAGAGGCATTCCAGCTATACTTCTAAGACAGTTTTTGTTCTTCTGGCAGTCCATGGTATCTTCAATATTCTGTGTTCAAACGCAGTAATTCTTCTTCAGTCTTCCTTTTTTATTGTCCATGATAACCAGAGAAAATATTGAAGTTACCAAGGGTTTCATTTTACTTGGATCAAGAATCAACACCCATGGAAGGAGTGGTCAAGAAATGAAACGATGTATTGCATTGGGCAAATCTGCTGCAAAAGACCTCCTTAAAATCTTAAAAAGCAAAGATGTCATTAGGTATATGCCTGTGTTTAAAATTCCATTTGGGAATAGGTTGTTTTTGTTATGTTAATGAGACAGGATTAGTATAGGGTGTTTCTTAAATCAATTTCTTTCGAGGTGTAAAAGAGATTAAACAAGCAAGTGAGAGAAGCAGAGATTCCTTTACAGTGAG